TTTTCATTTGGTTTATCTCCACTAAAAAATATAAAACCCTCTAATATTTCATTGCTGCAATTGTACCACCCAAATCTGTAAATATTGAGTGAATTTAAAGACTAGAACTACTTTTTTGTGCGTAGTAACATGGTATTTGATGTGAACATGCACTCTACAAACCTTTCTGAAAGCTACAGTCAACTTCATAATATTAATTTTTGTCGTCGTTCACTTATTCTTTAACAGGATGAAGCGATTATGAGATAACTTGTCTGACTTTTGTCTCGTTTGTCTTTCAGCAGAGCAATATGTCTTCACTGCCTCCTCCACCTCCCGGCGCCCCCATGGCTCCGCCTCCTCCGCCCATGTCGGGCGGCTTCCCGCCACCGCCGCCTCCTCTGCCGTTCAGCTGCCCGCCGCCTCCGCCGCCGCCTCCTCCGCCAGGAGGGCCGCCTCCTCCGCCCGGTGCCCCTCCCCTTTTTGGAGCTCCGCCTCCTCCTATGCCCTCGTCATTCAACTCCTTGAGCACAATGCGCGCCAAGTCCATCCCTCAGCCCTCTCATCCTCTCAAGTCGTTCAACTGGGCCAAACTTGGAGAGGTGAGGGAAATGTAGAGTTTGAGCTAAAAAGACGAGCTATGTTACGATGATATGAGATGTAAAGATTTAGACTCAACTTTTTACTCTATTATATCCTTGAAGTTGCTTTTAAAAAGAAAACAAAATCAAGACATGGATTCTTAGTGGTAAGAAATATGGCTGAGATGAAAGTAAATCATTATTATGAGTTTCATGAAAATCATCACCTTCACTGCTCATATTAATTACACTTCCTGCCTCTGGCTACAGTTTATTAGTACAAGTTATTATGTCCTGCATCTGGAGAAGCATTTTGTTTTGATTTCAAGGGCTTAATTGTACAATTTATCCATCTCAAAGTGCTCTTTTTGCATCACAACATCTGCTTAATACTTCCCTAACCTGCTGCTCGGACGTAGCACGAGTGAAGCAGTTGAAAGGAAGTCCTGGGTCCTTGAAATGTTTTTGTTTTTCAACCTAAAATTAGAGCATCTGCTCGTTACATGATTTATTCCTCGGCAAGATTTGAATGTTAACCTCTCGCTGTATGTTTGTCCCGTTTCAGAATATGATCAATGGCACCATCTGGAACGACATCGATGACCTGAGAGCTTTTAAGATTCTCGACCTGAAGGACATAGAGAAGATGTTTTCAGCGTATCAGAGACAACAGGTCTGAACTCTTCAGTGGGTTTAATTAGTCTGAGATAYGTGAATGGGTTTGTTGTTTTTCCTGATGCACTAAAGGAAACTGCTCGATTTGTTTCTGAGTTCTTGAACTGTGTGCACTGAAGGAAGTGGGGAATGTTTTAGAAGAACCTTCTAGATTTCTAAGAATCCATCTCCAGGCTGACATGAGCAACTGTTCACTGCTGAATGTCTCATTGTAGTTTGGACTTGTATCTACAGAGCATTTGTTTGAAAACTGATCTCGAGTCTTCATGAGCTCATGAGTCGGTGCGACGCTGAGAAAACTTTATTGAAACAAACAAAATGTAATAAACTGTCCAGGAAATAATGATGAACCTTGGACTTACTAATAGAATAATGACAGTATGTCTCCTTCTTGCAGTGACAAACACATAGCAATTACTCTCCTCTCTGCTGGAAGCTAATTGCACACTTGCGATGCAGCAAAATTGAGTGCAGATGTGCAAAAAAAACTGTTGAAGTGGAGTGTTAATTTGCTCTAATTGGTTTCTAGTAATCACAGTTTAAAACGAAGCCTTTAAGACTCCATGAAATAGAAGTGCACCGCCTATGAAGTTGAACTCCTGCTTTTTACAGCCACATTTCAGCGGCGTCTGATGTCTATAGTCACGACTCGGCGTAAGCTTTTATTAAAGAGGAATGGGTCATTTGAGGTTGATTCTGACATTGATTTACTGCAGGTGTTTATTCAGACAGAGCAGGTTTTTATCAGCCCAACAAAACTATTRAACACAGGTCCCAGAGGATATGGCCACATAAAAATCCAACATCTTCCTGGCTTTGACAACTCTGTTCCTTTTGGCAGGAGCTGCGTTCAATTTAAATTCAACAGGACATGTTTGGTGTGCTTATACACAGCATATTTTCTTTTCAAAAGTTTCTCTTTCCAAATGGGCTGTTGTTTACATTTGCACTCTGTAGGAGTAGCTGCCTCAATCACGCTTTATTGTTTAGCTTCATTTTGTGTCAAGATCAATGCAGATAAAATCACAATTGCACAAATGGAACACTTGTAGCCTCTTTCAGGAGAYAAAAACCAAACTAGGAAACTGTTTGTGTTCATCTTTCAGCTTCTTATTGATTCTTCGAGCTCGTGATGACTCAGACTGTAGATTGTATTCCTGAAAGCTTCCCAGCTTCAGCTTGTAGTTTGCAAACAGTAGCTGTAGCTCTTTGCTTTAGCTGCCATCCTTTTTTTTTCCAGTCTTAAATGCTCATCTTTGCATGTGTTTTCAATGTTCTTTTTTTGTTTTTTTGTTTTTGTCTTTCTGCACTCTCCAAATGCCTGGGCAGGACCTGCTAACTAACCAATCCTTCAAACARGTGAGTTCACATGATCACGTTTACCTGAACTTTTATTGCGGCTGTCACCKCTTCTTCTGCACTGCAGCAGGCAGAAAGAGCTGTTAGCTTGCATATTGAATGTTGAGTCTAATTTTATGTTTTTTGGGGAGTTTTTTAAGCTTTAATTTATATAGTTAAGTAAAACTCATTTAGTAGTTGTAGGGCGGCCATCTTCCGCCAAGAAGCTCCTGGGTCTTGACATGTCCAAATGGTTTTGGACAAAATGTTAAAATCCTTAGTGGTCCTGGTTTGTTTCTTTGTGTTTATTGGTTATATGGTTTTTGTACAACATTTATGATAAACAGGAGAATTTATGTAAATAGTCACATCAGACACTTATTTACACAATTAGTAGAAAATACACTGCCTGGCCAAAAAAAAGTGTCCACCTGGATTTAACTAAGCGCTATGACCTGGGGCCTCGTCCTCAGTAATGAGGGCGTTGCTTCAGTCAGTCCTGGTGAAGAAAGAGCTGAGTCGAAAGGCAAAGCTCTCGATTTACTGGTCTGTCTACGTTCCAAACCTCACCTGTGGTCATGAGGCGTGGATCATGACTGAAAGAACGAGATCCCGGATACAAGAGGCAGAAATGAGCTTTCTTCGTAAGGTGGCAGGACTCAGTCATCTGGGGGTAGCTCGGAGTAGAGCCGCTGGTCCTCCACGTCGATAGGAGTCAGTTGAGGTGGTTCGGGCATCTGATTATGATGGCTTCTAGACGCCTCCTTTTAGAGGTGTTCAGGCATGTCCCACTGGTAGGAGGCCCCGGGGGAGACTCAGGACTCGCTGGAGGGATTATTTATCCTCTCTGGCCTGGGTACAACTTGGGGTAACATCAGGATGACCTGGAAAGTGTCGCTGGGGAGAGGGAGGTCTGGGTTTCTCTCCTGGATCTGTTGCCTCCGTGACCCGACTACGGATAAGTGGAAGAAGATGGAGATGGAGATGGAGCTATGATCTGGGTTGCTGCAGATGGTCAGGTTGCCACCGCAAATGCATGCCGTAATCAAAGCGAAACACGGTCCAATGAAATATTAGTGTGACTTTTTTTTGTGGCAACTTTTTTTGGTCAGGCAGTGTATTAATAATTGTTTGAAAAAATGAATATTGAACCCAGTTAGTTTTACCAAACATATCTTTCACTGTTTAAGGTTTAGGGAAAGAAATGCTTGGATAAACTGTTAACAATTTAAAAAAAACTGTTTAAATAAAGTAGTCTGCAATTAATGAAATGTCATCACTTTACATTAATTCGGAAAATGATTTTATGTAAATGAGCAGCACATTGTTCACTTTCATCTTTCAACGCATACATGACCACGCCTCTTAAACAACCCCTTAACCACCCGTATTGGTGTCATAGGTTCTAGTTTTAAACGAATGAGAAAAAATGTAAATGTTAGTGCAGCCATAACTTATGAACATTTTAGTCAGTGTCCTTTTAATACCTGTCAGAAAAGCTTAAGCTCTATTCTAAGCTCCAGTTCTTTTAGTTCTATTGATTCATGATGCATAAAGGCTGACAGCATTAGCTCCAGTGTGAGGGCAGAGAGAGCTTTAGCTGGTTTATGATGGATGGGAGTTGTCCCCCTAACCTGCTGCCAACCTCACCCCACTGCCAGACACCCCAGGTCAACACGGACGTGGAAAAATGATACTTTTTTTTTCCTTCCTTTTTTTACAATCCACATCTGTTTCGCATATGTCATACCCAACAACCTCAAAAAAGAAAGTTCTCTGGCGAGCAGGAAACCAGCCTGGACCATAAATAGAATGTGTTTTAWCATGCAGCCCCAAACAGGCTTCTCAGCCTCCAATTCTTCACTTTGGAAAATTGAAATGCAACGTTTGTGTGAGTGTAACAAAACTGAACCACAGGTTTTGATTGGATCAAGTTTTCAAGTCTTTCCCTGAGATGTTTACGGGGCATTTTGCTTTGTGTTTGAAGCAATGACTCTGCTTTGGGTTTTTTTATTTATTTATTTTTGTGACATTTAAACCAAAACCTCTCACATGATATTTGCAGTCTGTGCAAAAACTACAGGTAAAGATCTGCTGCTCGTCCATCCTCTAAACCTGTGCTCGATTCAACAACTAGCTTTATTCCCTTGAGTTTGATTATTAAATATTCTACATTAACACCTTTTCATATCTCAGAAAGGGTCATTTTCTAAAGTAGTAAATAAACTGCAGACAAATGAGGACAGGATACAGTGGATGCACTCAATTTTATGTGAACATATTATTATAAGTTTTAAACTTAATCTGTTTTCCCCCCTTCTCACAGAAAGAGACAGGTTCTATGGATGACATATATGTCAGCACAAGGAAGGTCAAAGAGCTGTCGGTTATTGATGGCAGACGTGCGCAGAACTGTGTCATCCTCCTTTCAAAGTAAGAGCTCCCCATTGAGAAGTTTTCTTGCAGTTATATTGACTCTGTTTTAATGCAGACAGTATAAACTCTAGATAAAAAGTTATTTAATATATTTTCATTTATTCCTGCTTTTCAAAACAACAGCACACAAAGAAAAACACAAGGTTTGRCACACAAAATGTCATTTTATTAAAAAATCAATTTCAGTCTCRTCTTATGTTGTCCCAGAGAGGAAGTGTCTTAAAAGGTCCTTCTCAGCAGTCATTTCTGACTATTATTAAACATTCAAGTGCTATCATTGTTCACGTTTAGCCACGTAAAAGACACAAATAATTGACCCCTTTTCCCCCCTGGGGCTCCATCTACATCTGAACCGGAATCAATTGTCAYCATTTAAGATCCACTCTGCAATATGGTCCCCGTCCAAACCTCCAAACGGCGATGGTCCGGGACCCTTCAGAGAGTTTGAACGCTGACCCCACTCTACAGATCAATAAGCAGGCTTCCTGAGCCCTTTGTGCGGCAGACAAAACAGCCGCACGCTCCCTGAACTCTTTCGTGTCRATGGCGAATGACCCTGACCCAAATAGGGTCAGCAGATGGTCAATGAAGCTTTGATGCTCAGACGAACAATGCTGTTATTGATTGTAACTCGGCACACGTAACGCTGATCAGATGCACTGAAAACAGCTGGCAGTGCTCCCTAGAGCATCACTGTCACTTGTGTATTTTTATTTTTTTTAATTGAAGCATTTTTTTCCTACTATTTTCAGGTTAAAAATGACAAATGAGGAAATTAAAAGGGCAATACTGGAGATGGATGAGAGAGAGGAGCTGGCCAAAGATATGTTGGAGCAGGTTTGTTTCAATGCTTTGTTTTATGTTGAAAGGCAAGTTAACGTAATACGGACCAATTCTTGTTTTTCAGTCAGGCAGCACAATATCGCAGGCATTTCTAAAGATTCTTGGAACAATGTAATATAGAGTTTCTGAGAGTCAATGTCGTTATCACATGTTTTCATTGGATGTCACAGTTTGTCWCATAGCATTCTGTTGCAAACACAGCGTTTAAATCCATCCTCGCATCTTTTCAGCTGCTCAAGTTTGTCCCGGAGAAAAGTGACATCGACCTCCTGGAGGAGCACAAACACGAGTTGGAGAGGATGGCTCGGGCCGACCGCTTCCTCTTTGAAATGAGCAGGTACACACGACATGACGCACGTTGCATCCAGTGGCGGCTGCGTATGGGATAACACAACTGCCAGAAAGAATTGCACGTGTAAATTTGTGATTCGTACTTGTAATGTTRTGAAGTTGTAACTTTGTAACTTGTATTTGTAACTTTTAAACTCGTATTCTCACAGAAAACATATTTGATTTTACATGAATGCAAATATAAAATTTATGCACATTTATTGTACAAATCAAAATTTTTGCACAGCTATTGACTTACATGTACAAATTTAGACTCTACACATACAATTCTTTCTGGCAGTTGTGTTATCTCATAGATGCGCTTTCTTTTCTGTTGTTTGAGTCGGGTAAAACCTGGTTACTGCTTAAAGTACATTTCTTTTATGTTGGTTTGAAGTGGTCAGTGTTGAATGGGAGAAYGTGTTAATAAAAAATGAGCTTTCTCTGGCTCCTCCTAGTGTTTTTAATGTAGTAATGTGTTTAGAGCCAGCTGTGGGGTACTGTGCATTTAATTCTCTTTTTCTATAACCTGGAAGTTTCTAAGTGAAAGGGATGAAGGTAGWTAAAATTCTGTAAACATTGGAATAAAACCTTTTTTTTCTAAGCAGCTGTTCTTTTAATGCTTCAAACCTACTTTACAGATTTTAGGTTTAATACAATGTGAAACAGAAGGGTGTGTGTGTAATCTAGAGCTTATTAGAATGGTTTTGTAGAAGCACAGCAGAGAGAAATGAGCCTAAAAGGTGTACTCGTACACAATTTCCTTTTTTCTTTTTCTCTACAGGGTTCTCTTCTGAAAAGTTTGAAAATAAAATGAAARTCTGATAAATATGTCACACCAGCATGATTAAAAAAGACCTTTTAACACTAGAAGAAATATGCAGGTTTTATGTGGAATTAAATCTGCATCTAAGCTCTAAATATTTTTCAAAGCTGAGCAGGTGTCTGTTCAAAAGGAATCTTTAAAAACCAACATCAAGCTGCTGTGTGATTCATTATTTAGCTGAGGACAGAAGTTCTAAATGCCCCAGGAGGACCGTGGTCACGGTTGAAAACATTTTAGTAAAAGTCCATTTTATCCCCAACCTTGCCCTCTGCAGTTTTTACAGGGTTATTAGGTGAAACGTACTCCTGTCCATCGTCATTCTTTTTTAACCACATCTCTTTTGGTCTCAGGAGTACATCAGAGATTTTTTTTTTTTTTTTTGCCATTTAATATCCTTTGACCCTCTTTGAACAYCTCGCTCCCTTTTTAGTCAAACACTTCTTTTTGATGAGCGCTCTCTTAGTTGATGGTGAAACGGTGTAAAGTGAGAGGGAGGTTTGCACGATTGGTTGACTTGCAGCTTTGAAGTTCCACTCCCCTGAAGACAAATGTAACTTACCTCTCTCTTCTTCTCCCCGCCTCCGTTTCCTCTTTTTTTTAACCTCTTTGTTTTCCCTCGTCAGGATCGACCACTACCAGCAGAGACTGCAGGCTCTGTTCTTTAAGAAGAAGTTTGCAGAGCGTTTAGCTGAAACCAAGCCGAAGGTTGAAGGTAAGGACAAACATGAAAGGGCTGGCTTCGTTTGTAAAATACATAAATCAGAACAAAGTTTCTGCGGTTGTTTACTGAAAGGATAATATTCAGGATTTTTGTTTGTTTTAACTCCCATTTCATCTGAAACCTGCCTGCTTTTTTTTCTTTTTCTTTTGCATAATGATATTCAAAAACTATATAAAAACAAAAGCATGACAGAACCTTGGATATACTTCCATAACCACAGTATTTAATTTTTAATTACACATATTGTCTTGTTAGTTAAGAACAGAGAAATTTAATAAAACTTTTACTATAAAAAATAGAAAAGATGAGAATGTTTCAACATGTATCTAGGGCCTAAACTATTTGAATTGCGTGGTTCCGTGTGCATGGTGGGCAACTTTAAACTGCTTTTATGTAGTWTTTCTTTCCAGCCAGCATCCAAGTTTCCAGGGAGGCTGTTTTGGAAAGCTGGCTCGTGTTGTAAACCCTGAATCTCACATCARAGATGGAGGAGAAGGCCTTTCCATTGTGGCTTTAAGACATATGTGCGCTCACACACATTAAATGTCACGACTGAGCTGTCACAGTGGCTGTTCGGAGCGAGACTCGCTGGGCTTTGATGAGCACATAACACTACTTTTGTCTGCAACTTTTTATTCGCATCAATCGCYGACTGACAGCTCGTTTCTGTATGGGCTGCAGCTTTCTTGTCACACATTCAATTTCTTCTAGTCTGAGGTYAAACTAATATATTCTGATGTACATTTTGTTCATTGCCAGGAAGGGTAAAAGAAAGCAATCGATGCTGTTGAATCCAGTGTTGTATAAAGTACCTCAAAGTGATACTTGAGTAAAAGTACAAGTATCTTATCATAAAAATACTTTGGTAAAAGTTAAAGTCATCTCTAAAAATATTACTTGAGTAAAAGTCTTAAAGTATCTGATATTTTTGTACTTAGTATCAAAAGTAAATTTCTAACACAAAATCTACTTAAGTATTAAAAGTAAAAGTGAGCAG